GGGGGGTGTTTGGTGGCTGGAGGTGCGGGGGGTGTTTGGTGGCTGCGAGGGGGAGACGCGATGGGGTGGCCAGGGGTTCGGTCCCTGGCGAGTGAATTGACGCGCCTCGCTAGGGACGCAGAAGGGTGTTTTCGTGCCTTCGGGAGGATCGAAATCACACGCCAGTGGGGGCAAGGCAGGCGCACGTGCCACCGTCGACGATGTCATTTCCCGCCACACAGAAGCGACGTCGCGGGAGGTCCATCTGCGAGAGACTACTTAAGTCCTGCGCATTTCGACCCGTTCGTATGTCGTCCGCGCCGCAAAGGTGTTTCCAGTACAGAAGCCCGCCTTGCCTGCTGCAAACCGCCCGCAACAACGACGAAGTGGTGCAAGCCTGTTCGTCGTGGATCGCTCTGATCGTCGACCTTCTATTCTTCTCGCCGCAAGTCTTTTCGACGCGGAGTACTCTCGCCGTCATCTTCGTCCTTCTTTCTTCCACCTGCACGTCGCGAAGTACGGCGGAGGACTGATCTTTTGTCTCCCACGTGCACGTTGTCGTCTTCTTCCAGCGGAGGACAGATCTCCTGCGTCGCGGGGGTGTCCATCGTCGTCACGTCTTCTTCTCGTGGAAGACAGATCTTTTGTCTACTACGTGCATGTCATCATCTTCTTCCCGCGGAATACAGATCTCCTGCATCGTGGGGGTGTCCGTCGTCGTCACGTCTTCTTCCCGCGGAGTGCAGATATTCTGTGTACCACGCACACGTCGTCGTCGTCAAGCCAAAGCCGCATGGGAGACACTTTTCAGGGGAGACATATTTCCGGGAGATATATTTTCCGCCAGGTCGGCACACTTCCCGCTCATCCGATCACACCGCCAAGCTCGCCTGCAAAGGTCGCCACGAAACATATCTATGCGAGGGAACACCCGTGGGAAGAAGCGCGACGTGGTCGTTGACGACACCCAAGGGCAGGGAAGAGGGCGGCGGCAGGCCCCGAAAGCAAAGAGGCTGCGTACGGAAGATGCTTCAGCAGGGGTGCCTCGCCGTGGAGCGCAAGGTTGGGCGGCGGCAGCAGAGGGGGACTACGACGATGAGCTCAAGACGGAGGAGGAGCAGGCGGAGGCGACCACGTGTGAAGTACGCGAGAGCGGTCGGCAGCGCTCTTCAGATCACACCGCTTCGAAGAGGATGCTCACCCCGCCACCCGAGGCGCAGCAGCTGCGTGGCCGAGAAACGCGGACAGAGAAGGCTCCCGTCGTCGATCTTGGCGGCGATGATGATGAGCCCTTGGAGAGACGTCGCATTTGCATTCATACAACAGCGACCCCACCGCCAGAGGTGGCCGTGCGCGTTACTGCAAACGAAAGGCCAGTCTCGGGTAGGCTGCCCGCCACGCTGTGTCAGCCACGTCAGTGCAACGAGGGTGGTAATGGAGGGTCTGTCCAACGCGGCGGTGGGGGGGAAGTCGTGGCGGACGAGCGCGCAGTTGGCGCCGAGGAGGGAGGTGCTGCGGGGACGGGCGGTTCAGGCACTGTGGCCGCCGTTGCGATGGCAAGGGAGGAGGCAGCAGTTGGGGCGACGGCGAGAGAGGAGGCGCATGGCGAGAGGAAAGGCGATTGGGAGGCTGGCGAGTGCGGTTCAAGCCGGGTACATAGGAGTGTTATGACAAAATACCTCATCGATCGTGCCGTCCTTTGGGTTGATGACAAAGCTTTCAGGACGACGGGGAGGGGCGAAGATTGTACAACATCGTCCACGAGATGAGAGAGTACTTCGTCACCATCGCCAGCGGTCTTCCACCGCCTACCGTCCCTTGGAGTGTCGTTCTGCCGAAATTTAGCACGCGCATAGGCAGGATCGTCGACCAATCACAGCTGCAGCAGGCGATCTCCCGTGCGGCGGCAGTGGAGAAATGTGGCGCTGCGCATCTTGCACGGTTGGGTATTCAAGTCCGGGAACCGCCCGAGGGGATACCATGTGGCTTTCCAGTACTCACTGGAATCCTTTGCGTGTGCTATGTGGTACGGCTAGGAGTGGTGCGACGTTGTCAGTCTGGCGGTTTGCGCGCACACGATAGATCTGTCCATGGACCTGCCACTTTGGTTCGCTGGCGCCAACATCGAGGACAGACCGGACGACGACGACATGGCGGCGCACCAGGATTCCACCGTCATCTGCGCCGCGTATGCATTCCGCGCGGCGGTGCAAATGGGGGCGCTCATCGACGGTGACTTCATCTCGCACGAGCGTCTTTGTCGGGTGGCTGACTGCTTCAGGCTATTGTTGGCGGCGTGCATGTGGATAATGCGCATGGCGGGAGACGATCCGCGCAGCCACTACGAGGCTTACTACTTCGCGGACCTCGTGGCGAAGCCCACACTCGTCGCGGCCATGCATCGCTCCTTCGATCATCGACGATCCATCGTCCGCGCCGCGAGAGAGGCTCAGGAAGGCGAAAGCTACGTTCGGACAGCACCCCGACTACATCCCTCATTGGGCACCCTGCGACATTGGTTTTAGGCACGACGCGAGCATCACGGGGGCGGAGGATGCGAAGAAGCTGGATTGGTTGGGTTCGGGCCCCCCCGATGATGACAACAACAACGACGAGAAAAATGACGCGTAGGGGGGGTAGGGGGGGGGGGGGGGGGGGGGGGGGGGGGGGGGGGGGGGGGGGGGGGGGGGGGGGGGGGGGGGGGGGGGGGGGCCCCCGGGGGGGAAAAAAAAACAACGGGGAAAAAAGGGGGGGGGGGGGGGGGGGGGGGGGGGGGGGGGGGGTTGGGTGGCGGGCGCATGTGCAAGTGGCTGGTCATGATGGGCTTCACTGGGGTTGCACCGTCGCAAAGTGCGCACTTGTTTAGTGTGTCGGCGACAGGGATTCTGCGGAATCGTCCTCGCTTGTGCAGTTGTTTAGTGCGTCGGCTCTGCCACGAAGACGGGTTGATTGTGTTCAATGGTGTGTGTTGCGTTTAGTGCAGGTGTTCAGCGTGTCGGTCATTGGAATCAACGACGAGATCATTCTATGTCATCGTGTATTGTGTTTTTATATTCGCAGTTCGTTGCGCGACGAGTTTATAGCGCTTTAAGCACACTCTTTTTTTTATGTGATGTGTCCGTTGTTCTCGTGTCTTTTGTGGAATGATTTAAAGATGATTGCAGATGATTGCCTCATATGCATGCATGCAATCCAGGTTCATGTATCTCTGTTTTTTTTGTGTCGTAGTTAACTAACAATAAGCAGCTTGCATCAACAATTTGAAAACCCGTGTTTGACGTCACGCCAGAGAAACAAATGAAAACATTCGCGACAAACGATTTTAAGAGACACACAAAAACAAATGAGAAAGGAATTGAGGACACAGATTAAAGAAAAGAAAAAAAGTTCCCACCACACCGAACCATTCGAGACATGCGATGTGAAGACTAACATAAAAAAAACAAATTACAAAAAAAAATAAAAAAGATAAATTAAAAAAACAACAACCGAGAGAGACACACAAAAAAAAGGATCTTCCAATATCAAACGTTCGTACAACTGTACGAACCACGCAACCGTCCACACGACGAAAACAAAAAAAGAAGTCACATACGACAACCATGCCGCCATACAATCGACCCTGCGACTTTGCGCGACGCCAATGGACGCGGGCCACGTGTCAAATCCACCCGCCTGCCGATCGCACCAACCGACGTGCTATCACCCCCCCCCCAACCCCCCCCCCCCCCCCCCTTCCCCTCCACCTCCTGTCCGCACGGTCCTACATCAGAGCTAGGCGGTCTCGAAGTGCATCCCGCAACAACTCCCTGTCCACATTCGTGCTCCGTCGCTGCCCGCCCGCGCCGTTCCCCACAGTGGCTAAGTCTACTCTACACCGAATGCCGTTCTCATCCACCTCCCACAAAACGTTCTCATCGAAGTTGATCCCCTCGTCGAGGAGGATGTTGTGGAGAGTGAAGACGACCACAAATTGTTGTGGCAAGGTCTCTAGGTTCGTCTTGTGGGTGCGCAAGAACAGACACCACATGCACTTCAGTCGACCAAATGCCCTCTCCACACACCCACGCACCACCTTCTGCCGCGTGTCGATGCGCTCCTCGTCAGGATCTTGGTCGATTCCTCCGTACGGCTGCACGATCCATGGACAGGCAACTGGATAACCGTTGTCGCCCAGCAGGTAACCTCGCATGACGACACCGTGCGGCAGATTCTCCGGAGGTGCATCGAACAGCTCGCCAGCTTCTGCACGCCTCCACAGCTAGGAATTGTACTGGACACGGACATCGTGCACACTTTCTGGGTATTCGATGTGGACGTCGAGGATCCGCAGATCCAAATCCACTACCACCTGCACCTGCACGGAGAACTTCTGTTTGCGGTCGTAGTAGTTGTCCGAAGGTGCGCCGGGGGGCTTGTCAATGTAGATGTGTGTACACTCGATCGCGCCGAAGCAGTTCAGGAAACCCTTGTCACGGAATGCGCGCAGAATCTGCGCACGTCTACGCCCAACTGGCCACTTGATCGCGTCGGGGTACGCCTGCAGCAGCGCCGAAGTGACGTCGCGGACGACCTGTGGTCAGTTGCCCTGCCGATGTCGAAGGCTGATGTGCCGCTCTCGTACGTCTCTCCTAACGCCCACCTGTACAATGCAAAAGCGATCACCTGCTCCACTGGCAATGGCATCCTATAGTGCGTCACCTTCTTCTCCATGTACGCGGCGCACGCGGCTACGATCTGCCTGAACATGGCCATCGACATGCGCAACTTCTGCCGGTAGTACTCGTCCGTCGCGTTATCACAGAGGCGGAGATCCTCCCATGTTCCGCCAGTCCGTCGTTTAATCCACCAAGGCGGGGTCTGCCGCGGGAAAACGCCAGATGAAAGCGCGGCACACAACTGGACGACTGCCTCACACGTGGCCACGCAATCCGGCGCTTCGGCAATGCGCTGCAACAGCGCTCTTCGTTTTCGGAGCTGCGTCAGCATGTCGCTTGAGGACGACGACATGCCGCCCATTGTGTTCACGACGACAGCAGTAACCGCCATCGCCACCGTGTTGATCTCCTCTTCGCGCAGACCGTGCCCGTTGCCGCGAACATCCATCTCCGGGAATCGTTCTGCCCCCACAGCGTGACGCCTGCCACAGCCGCCGAAGACACGCCCACTGCTGAACCAAGCAAAGAGAGACCAGGCACGCCGGACCCGTAGATGCGCCCGCTGCCGTACGCTGCAACAGGAGATGGCGTACGCCGGAGTCGACGACGCACCCGCTGCTCTACGCTTGCACAGGACAGCACACACGGCGGAGGTGAAGATGCGCCTTGCCGGAAGTTGCCCCCGCCGCTCACAACTTGCGTGGAGTCGGAAAATGGATACCCGCGCCGAATGGTTCCCCAGCGCCGTCTTCTTTACGTCACACGCTTCGCCTGGCCGTCCTAGGCCCCTGCAGCCTTGCGTCCGCGAGAATTCGAATTTGAATTTTTGAAGTTCGGGGTGACCACGCTTTTCACCCACCCCTCCTCACCCGCCCAAGGCCTCCGCAGTGTGTACCACGGGCACCAGCCAGGACCCGGCGGACATCGGCGACGCGGCTGCGTATACGAATATGAGAACGGGCCGCGGGAGACCTTTTAGGACGAATCCTAAAAGATGATTTTTAGGACTGCGTGTAACGCCGCCGCACGAAATCCTAAAAAACCTTTAGGACTCGTCCTAAAAATTTTAGGATTCTTTTAGGAGTGCCTAACGAGACCCATAGTTAGTTGATAGTTACTCGGTTTCATAGTCTCTAGTTATTGGCTGACAGTTAGTTGATAGTTAGTTGATAGTGAGTTGGTCGAAAGTTAACTGATATCTGGTTGACAGTCTGTTGATAGATACTAGATAGACAGTTGAACAAGGAAGAAGAGTACCAGTTGGGACGACCTATAAGAAAGATACGTAGTTGGAAAATACCAGGTTTTCTGCTGCGGTTGGGGTTAAGCCTGGCCGGAGAGGCTGGCTCATCCCCTCAGGCCGGAGCCAATGATGTGAGGGACGCTGGGCCCGATTCCCAGCTTATAATGACAAACTCTTCTTTAAAAAAAAAAGAAAAAAAAGAATTTCCCCTTGCAAGCAAAAAAAAAGAAGAAAAAAAAAAGAGAGAGAGAGAAAGGGAAGGGAGGAAGCGGGGAAGGCAGTTCAATGAGGGGGAAGGACGGTGGTCTCAGGAGAGTAGAGAAAGCTAGGGCTGCAGGGCATGGAACTTCAATTCTGCCACAAGTAGGTATCCGGGTAATCACGGAAAGCAGTACCCGCCATAGAGTCATGCGCCCCAAAGGAGAA